GTGCGATATCTCTTGAAGTACCACATGTCTGATTGGTTTGAAACTTTGAGTATAGCTGGAAAGGGACCTGAAATTGACCTGATATGATGTTAACGTCATCAGGTGACAAGTCCCATGTCATTAAAGGTACACTCTTTGAAGGACTCTATCTTCTGAATTGCATGTCCGATTGGGTTCAAAAACGTCACTAAAACCAAATATCCTTTAAAAAGCCAGATACTGGGGTGGTGGTGGGCAAATTGACCCTGCTTGCCCAACTAGCTGTGACAGAATGATCCTCACATGAGAATTTCCCTCCTAAACTAGCATTGCCTGAAAGAAGTAATCTGACCCCTTACCTGATTGGCGAAAACAATGGGATGTGATTGGTCAGAAGAATGGGCAGTGATTGGCTACCAGTTAATGCAAAAGTAACGCTGATTGGCCTACTTTATGAATAATCAGTGCCAGAATCCTCTTCAGAATCCACCTTTTGTGAAACCCTCAATTTACTGGTACAAACTGTCATAACTGCAAGAAAAGGGGGGCCAATTGAATGCAAACTGGTGCAGATTTGTGGGGATCTGTGGCAGCTATCTGGAATCATAAATATAACCACATAAGGCAGTGCAGATCTTACAGCATTCTCCTTCCAACCATGAAAAGCTACATACAGTACCTGCTTGGGATCCCACCTTACATGTATGCATAAAGAGTTGGGCTGAGTGCAAAAAGTATAACATCTGCCAGGAAGTGTGAAAGCTACATTGTACATGTATTTAAGGTAGTGCACATACATGTAGGACCCTGTGCTTAATACTGTAAGCTTCTTCAAACCATGCAAAGCAACACCAAGTACATGTATAAAGGGTTCTGTCAAAATACATGTACATGGGTTATGACAGAACCTTGTGTTTGTGGCAAATCACATGATTGATGAATCACTCTCCTGGACTGAAATTTTGACCGAATATATGAAACACTTCAATTTGCGACAAATTCTTGTCTTTAAAACTGTCTCCTTTTTGAGCAGTTTCCAAAGATCAGTATCATGAAATCCTTGTGGAGACCTACACACCTTTAGACCTATTCAACCCATTCTCCTGGGTCTCCACAAGGCACCATATTTCAAAACTGGAGAACAAAGCCATGTCTCCACAAGGATACAAATTTCGGAAACAGTATGTTGTGTGTGTGTGCGCCAACCTTACATACATGTACCTACTGTGGACGTGTGAACAAACGATGTCCACACGATGTAGGAAAGGAAGATGTTCTGTGAACTTACACACGTCCACAGAACGTTTCTCCTTCTCTAAAAAAGAAATTAAGAGGCTTTTTGGGGTGGGGGTCATCTGTCGTAAAAGGAAAAGGAAGAGTCAAGGAAACCTTGTGCAAAAAAGCCAGCTGAAACCGTGTTCCCAATTCAAGAAAACGAGTATTTTCACTGCGTATTCTTAACTGCACAAAAAGAAAGGAATGTCCACAGTACACACATGTATGAATGTAAGGTAAGTGGGTGCATTTGAGTGTGTAAACGCCTTCAATCATGGACCTATAACAATAGGGGACAATAGGGTCCATGGTTGCTGAAGAGGTTGCCGAAGAGTCCACGGTATAAAACATATGGGAGGTCTTCCAAAAAGTTAAAGTATGAACAAAAGAGGAACAATAGGGAGTCCAGGATTGGGTGTGTGAGTTTGTTTCTGCATTCAATTGGGGACCCTGAACAATAGCGGACAATAAAGTCCCCGATTGACAACTGTGTA